CCTATCAGAATTAACCACACCTTCCTCTCTGTTCCCACCATACTTGATCTATTAAGTCATCATAAAATTTAATTCAAGATGGCTTTCGTTAGGTCTTTTCTACTAGATCGGTGCTTCTCAAACTTTAAATGCGTACAAATCACCTGGAGATCTTAGTAAAATAGAGATTCAGATTCCGATGGCCTACCAGGGGGCCTGGGAGCCTGCATTTCTAACAAGCTCCCAGGCGATGCCGACACTGGTGGCCTGTGGGCCACACTTTGAGTGGCAAGGTACGGCTTTTGGGTTGCTTAAAAGTAGTTGCCATGTCTTATTCATCTTTTTAATACCAGATTATAGTATAATGTCTGCCTGACTATAGGTCGTTCATACACATTCACTGAGTTGAAATAAAGTGAGTTAAGGTGGTGGTGGTACTGGGGTGTCTCCTTTAAATGTAAATATGTGATCTGCGTAGTATTAGGAAATTCTTGTCGCTGGGATGGCAGAAAGTAGGGCGGGGCATGACTTGGGGCTCACAGGGAGCTCAGTGGGACCAAGACCTCAGCTTTACAGATCCAGAAACTCAATTTTATCAGCCTGTTTAGGTTCCGAAAGACTGATCGACACCGATATATAAACCAGAAGGCCAATTTATTCATTAACATTAGAGGATATGTCATTCCAGTGATGGAATTACTCGTGCCTGCTAATGAGATACCCCCTACCAACCATCCGTGCTCCCCACAGCAGGGCCCCACCCCCGCCCCTTGCCATGGGATCAAGGTAGCTAGGGATAACTTTGGCTCAGCACATCAACTCAGAACACAGATAACTAAGTGAACTTGTGGGAAAAATAAAGCAGGTAAAGGAATAGCTTGACAAATGGTCCCTTTTCCAAAATGATTTCACTTCTGTCATAGTGCAATTATTTTCTCCCAGATCGAATCTTTCTCCTTGGGTGGCACTGAGTAAAGACAGATAAATTCTTGCTTCTAAGTATCTGTGTTTCTGGACTCCATGTTGAACAGTCACTCCTTCTTCAGCCAACACATCCTTCTACCAGGAAGCCCAGCTTCAAAATAACTGATTCGCTCACAGCTCTTTGCAGCCATGTCTAGCCTTGGTGCATTCGAGTGGGCATTTTAATGGCGGGTGCACGTGTGACACCAAGTACCTCTTAGGGTGGGATGTTCCTGGAGAGACGATTCCATCCATGTGATGCTGACTCTCCTTGTCCCCCAATTGTGGGAACCTCACATTTGGCCTCTTCTCTTAACAGTACCACTGAGCCGATGGGCAGAGTGGGACAGATAAGCTCCAGCCAGTGAGACGGCTGGAAAGCTGGACTTTCTGTGGCCTGGAGGCCCTGTCAGCCAAGGGGCTGGCTGGGAAGGGAGGCTCACAGCCTTGGCCACTTACACATTTGCCTCATGCTGACCTGGCGTCTTCTTAAACTTCCTGTGGACCGTCAGCTTGTGACTGAGTATTCAGCGTATACTTTGTTACCACTAAGCCACTGCCCTGTGGGTCACTTCTCTCCAGACTTCAGTTTCATCCTCTGTGAAAGGAGGGGTTTAAAAGAAATACGCTCTATGGTCTCATAGAGCCCTAGGATTAACCAACTTAAAGTAATTTATATATATATATATATATATATATATATATATATATATATATATATATATATAACCTGGTTTAAAATACAACATTTTATGAAACCTCCACAACTCCACATTAGTTTCCTAATGAGTTTAATTAGTTCCCTAATTAAATTCGTTTCCAGGACTTTCCCCCATGGGCTCTGTGGGGTCTGACGGCCACACGTGCAGGATTTAGTAGAACCTTTGAGGCCATCTAGTCTACCCCACACTAATGAATCCTCCTTGCCTATTATTAAAAGACAGATATTCTTTGAAGATAAGCTTTGTGCTGCATCACCAAGCTATTTGCCAGTATCATGCTCTGCCCTTGGTTTTACACCACATTCCCTCAATGGGGGCAATTTCACTCCCAAGAGGTTGAAAAGTTGTGATTTTAGATACTACAATGGTTTGTGGCACTCCAAAGGGCCACAGGACATAAAATATACAGTATATCTATGGTATTAAATTTTCATGGAGGGAAGGTGATAAGGGAACATATGCTGAAAATGTTTTTTAGGGAGGACAAACACTAGTAAAGGGTTTATGCAAAAGAGTCTGTGTCTCTCTGGCTAAGTGGTTATATTATGTGAAGTCACCCACGTCCTTTCATTCTGCCACTCCTGTGTCCAAGGACAAAAGAGCCAAAGATAAAATTCTCTAATTTAGTAGCTCTGATCATTTCTCCCCATTATTTAGCTTTAGCTCTTAGCATTCGTGACCTTGCATCATTTGTATGAATCTGTTCTGTCTTCATAACTAGATTATAAAGCATTTTAGGATAGAGACCATACATTCATTTGATAGTCCATTTATTCATTCATTCATCCATCAACCATTCATTGAGCATCTCTAGGCATGGGGCTAGATTCTAAAGAGACAGAGAATACGGATATGCTCTCTAACTTCAAAGACTTCCCAGTAAAATAAAAAGTGGTGAAAAAGAGCGACAAGTGTAACAGTAAAGATGTTATGAGTTGCACATCTTTGGGAGGAGGCAGTGCTTGAGCTGAGCCTTGAAGGAGAAAGGAGTTTCCCAGATAGAGAAAGAATATAGAACAGGAAGACCATTCCAGTCCAAACTGGAAGCTTCTGATATGTCTGGAGACAATGGCACATGTGGGAAGGGACTGGAAATGAGGTCAAGCCAAAGCAAGAGGCATCTTCAAGCTTATTCTAAGGGCAATGGGATGCCACTGGAGAATTGATTAGCTCTCTGTTGACTGCAGTGTGGACGGAATAGATGAGGTTTGGAACCCAGTTAAGAGATGTTACAACAATGCAAGCTGGTGATGCCTGGACAAGGGCAATGGGTGGGGATGGGGAGCCCAGAGAACTAGTTGGTTAATAAGCTGTGTGTGGGGAGGGGGGTGAGTGAAAATTGGTATCACCACTTGGAAGGGAGATGTATCACTATCTGTAAACTAAAAAAAAAAAAAAGGAATATTTATCACTATCTATTAAAACTCAGAAAGAGGAATAATCTTATGACTCAGAAATGTCATTTATGGTTACCTACCCTAAAGAAGAATATTTGTTGAGCATTGTTGGTTTCAAAAAACCAGATGCACCAACATGTCCATCGATAAAGAACTAGATAAAGAATATGACAGTAAAAGGTGTGAGCAGTACCTCTACATAACAAGGTGGTTCTGTCTCCAACACATTCTATGACTGAGTGAAAAAAACCCAGTTGTAGAATGATATATATAGTGTCGAGGTCCTAAAGAACAACGTTATGGCATTTGGGAGAGCCCCGTTGCAAACAGCTGTCTTCCCACCTTCTTATCCCAAATTACATTTGTTAGGTATTATCTCACTTACCCACATAACACTTCTGCTTAGTCTTCTTATTTCTTTAAAAAAAACTTAACGTTGGGGTGGCCAGTCAGCTCAGTTGGTTAGAGCACAGTGCCCATAACACCAAGGTTGCTGGTTCAATCCCCACATGGGCCACTGAGTTGCACCCTCCACAACTAGATTGAAACAACTACTTGACTTGGAGCTGATGGGTCCTGGGAAAAACATGCTGTTCCCCAATAAAATTTAAAAAAAACCAACTTAATGTTGAGTAGATACAAAATAACATTTGTAGAAGGCACATAAACTATACAGAGTTGGTATACAATCAACACTCCTTCCTGTGCTCCCACCAGCTGTAAGAACAGAAAAACATCATCATCATTTTCAATGTCTCATGAGTCCCTCTCAGATCTATCCTATCCTTCCCCTCTCAGAGGCCACCCTTTTCCTGAATTTTGTTTGTAGTTCCACATTCATGTTCACATTGTTCAGTCTTGTGTGTTTTTGAATTTTTCTCTATATGGAATCATACAGTATATTCTTATTTTGTGACATTCTATTTCCACCTGCAATTACATTTTTGAAGTTCCGTGTTTGTATTTGTCAGAGCGCTTCCGTGTTTGTATTTGTCAGAGAACCCATAGGATATATGTGATTTATGATGAGGAAGTGGTTCCTATGATTATGGAGACAGAAGTCCCACCATCTGCTGTCTCCAGCTAGAGACCTGGTGGTGTCATTGCACTCGGAGGCTGAAGACCTGAGAACCAGGGGAGCTGATGGTGCAAATCCCAGTGCAAGGGCAGGGGGAGAACTATGTCCCAGCTCAGTAGACAGGTCAGAAGGAAGGTGATCCAATTCTTTCTTCCTCTGCCTTTTGTTCCATTCAGGCCTTCAACAGACCCGACAAAACCCACCCACAGTGATGTGGGTGATCTACTCTTCTGAATGCATTGATTCAGATGCCAATCGTACCAATACATCCCCAAATAATGTTAAACCTGGGCTTCTCAGGAATGAACATTTTTCTGGCAATCCTCAAATAATTGGACACTGTGTATGTTTGTTTACTTGTGGCTCTTAAGCCTCTTTATACCCAGAGGAATGCATTCATACCTAGTTGTTTGCAGGAGGTTATGTGAGGAATCGTAAGGGATGTTCTCCATGCTTTGTCTGAGTTCTTCCTTATGTTCTGTGAATTTGGGAGGGAAGTAAGAAAGGTAGCATTGGTGTCAAGGACAAGTGGGAGGAGAGGAAGGGGGGAGGGGCCTGTAACATAGTCTCTGAAGATGGCAGATGCCCAGGCATTGTGCTGGAGAATGTGCTTATTTCATTATTTGGCAACAGTTGGTTAGTTATCAATGAAGCAGAGCTGAAGACCAGAACGGAAACCATGACACCCACCCCACCATAAGTTTGGGTTTCCTCCAAAACCATTTCCCTTCTGTATGTGGATGCAGTGAGCTGGATAGAGGATATAAGTCGGCCTTAGAAAGCTCTCTCCACATCGAGAGCCTGAGGTGGCCATTCCTGGGCCTTTTGCCTCCACCTTTGGTCAGATCTACCTTCAGTTCCATGGGAGGCTTTGAGGGTCATCTGTACCCGGGGCTGTCTCTCTTCTTCTACGGACTTTACCACGCACGACTTGTTTTCAGGGCCTTGATATGCAGCTGCACCGTCCAGCACCTGCCACGCCATCGCCAGAGCCAAGGAAAATGGGCCAGGCTGCGGCAAATCCACTATGTTGGGTTGATGAAAATACTGAGCGCCTGCATTTTAGTAGCCCAAGAGCTCTATGCCATTCATGGACAGTTCGTGCTTATCAGCAAGCTATATCATCAGAGAAGCTTCTTGTACCGCAAACAGTGGCAGCATCTCACTCTTTATATGACCTTCTTCCTGAGTGGGTGCATAGATGTGGTGAGTCAGAACCTGCTGCCCCAGAGGTGTGCTGCCCTGGAGCGAGGGGCCCAAGCCCTGGGCCTGTTTCTGCTTCTTCCCCTGATGGTGTCTCACGTGCAGGACTCGGAAGGCGTGGAACTGCAGTCTCACCTCCTGCTCACCCAGGCCATCTTCCTGCTGACACTGGTGGTCACTGCAGAGCTGTGGGCTCCCGACGTGCCACAGCTCGGCGTCATGAAGGCCTTTTTTTATATGCTCATAGGCTCCTGGCTTATTCAGATAGGCTTTATGCTGTACAAACCAATCTCGGGCCATCAATGGATGGACGATGACAAAAATGACATGATATTTGTCACCACCTTCTTCTGCTGGCATGTGGCTTTCATTGCCATTTTGATGATATGGATTTATGGCGTCTCCTTTCTGTGGTATTGTTACATTTGTTGATGTCTGAACCTGAGTGAGTCTGGAGTGGTTCCTGTCAGCTGTGCATTTCAGAACACCTGGTTGAGAAATCGAGGGAGGTGGAACTGTCAGAGAGGAGGACCAGGTGACCTTTCTTCAGAGGTCCCATCTGAGGCAGCAGTTGGGATAGGCATGTCCCCTTCTCCCCTCCTGGCTTCTCTCAGTCTCATTTGTTGAGCAGCGTGCTGATGAAAGGTGAAGGACACACAAGAGGCATGTGACTATGACCTTCGCTCTCAGCTCCCCAAGTACTTCCCTACCTCCCTCACTCTCCTCAACCCCAGCCAAGGCAATCTGTCCACCCAGCTCCTCTCTGCACCCCTGACTTCCCTCCAGGAGAACATAAAATCAATGTACTATATCCCACCTTTGGGTCTTTATAAATACCCTTCACCCACCACAGAATACCAACTAGTCACATTGAGTACATCATATGCACTTGCATGCTTTAGTACATCGTAATAATTTACCTATCATAACAGCCACCTCCTCATCCTTTCTCTTTCTAGATCTCTTCAACACTCATACTAAACCTGAACTGCTATTTTGAATATATGGAACTCACAGAACAGTTACTGAGTTCTTTATTTTGATGACCTTATGATTTATCCAAAGGAAAGCCAGATCCTTTTATCCAGCTTTATTGAGGTATACTTAATATACAAAAAAATTGCACATGTTTAATGTATACATTTTGATGAGTTTGGACCTATGTGGTACCGTGACACCATCATCACAATCCTTAGAGACAATTTCCTCTGCAGGGTCTACTAGAACAGAGCCACGCCCTGCACATCATGAGGCTCCAAAGGGCTCGTCAGCTTCCAAGATGTCTCTGTCTCTGTGTCCCCGAGTACAGCCTGTCACGTTCTCCTACCTGGGTACATCAGCCCATTGCTCTGCACACCTCGATCAATTTCTAAGTAGTCTTCTCACCTGGACTGTTTCCTGTTCTCATGTACAATAAAATCCAATGGCTTGTTTATTCCATGTACTTTTCTTTTTAATCCTTCAATTACCCCATCAGGTTAGTTTATAGATGATAATCTAAAACTCAAAAAGGATAAGAAATTGGCTTCAAGTAGCTGGATATTTTGCTATGTCACATAATGCTATAGCTGGGTGTCGAGGGAGGTGGAATTCTGAAGAGTAGAGGTAAATTGTGGGGGGCTTGCAAAAGAAGGTCTTTGTTCCACATTCTGCTTCTCTCCCTGCTGCCCCCAGGAGATGGAGAACCTGTCAATCTTCCCTTACTCCTGCCTGGTCACGGCTAAAATATCGAGGCTTAGGACAGAGTGAGGCTGGGGCAGGAATTCTAGACGGTCATCATCCCTCTAGCTCTCCTTTTGCTTCTAGTTCTTAGGAACTACTTCTATATGTATCCCTTTTCCTTTGATTCTGGCCCTACGTTTCCTTGTTAATTTTCTGGATCAAGAGTTAAGGTGCAATATTGTCTGGGGCCTCTGCCCTCTGGTTTAGGGAGCATTGGGAATTATTGCAAAGGGAAGAGGTGCTTCCCCGTGGTTTTTAGATGGGGCCCTGTTTCAGGTCCCTAGCTACCGTGAGCTGCGCGGCCCTCACATGCACAGGATGTGCCTTGTCTGCCCACCTTGGGAAGCTGGGGCCTCCAGGCCTGTGGAGTTCAGGCCCTTAGTTAAGCGTCTGTGCTTCGCCTTGGTCCTGGTGACCAGTAGAGCTCAGCAGTTTCCCCTGTAGGTTCTGCTCTGTTCTTGGTTGTCTCTCCAGGTCCCATCTCCTTGTTTCTACCCCACAACCTTGGGGATCTTTGCCCAGCCTTGCCTCTCCCCCTTCCTGTAGAGTAGTTGAACCTCCTCTAGTGGTAGGGAATTTGTTTTTGTTTTTTTCTACATCCTTTTTTAGTGATATGGCAAAGCTGTTTTCAACTTCACTCAGGCCTCCTCTTTTTGATGTTAAGAGCATATGTTTTATTTTTTTTAACCTAAAAATTGATATTTTTTTGCTATTACAATCGGACCTCATCTTGAGGCAGTATCTTTCACTAAGTAGAGGAAGTTATAATGGAAGGGCAGGAAAACAAAGCCCAAATATTAATATTTCAAGATATTCTCTCTCTACAAAGGTAAAAATTGAAGAATTACCAAAGCTGCTTGTTGACAGATCTGTCCCGTTTCTGAGTACTTTTGAGGTTCTGTTAGATACTGATGAGCTAGTCTTGTAGTAGATTAGTGCCTCCAAATATTATGTCTCACAGCATGTATCTTTTAGGTAAATTAATAAATATTAACAGGGACCTACAAAGCCACAAAGAATTATTACTGAGGCCTGATAGAATGGTGGCATGGAAAGGCTTGCTGTTTAGATCATACGGCCCTTTCTGTATTTCCACTTCACAGTATGTATGGGCACTCTGATAGTAATCCTAAACTTTGAAATGTAAAACCAGCAGAAGATAAATTGGGGGAGAAACAAAAACTAAAAACCCACATAGAATTTTGGAGAGAAAGGTGTAATCTTCACCACTGTCCACCAGAGGGCACCACCTTCACATGCGCTCGGAAAGGGCACTTGCTCTCTATTCGGTATTGAATTATCAATTTAATAGAAATGGAGGAGGGCGGAAGAGGAGGGCAGACAAATTCAGAAACAAGCATTGTCCAGTAAACATAATAAAGGTCTGTTTGTTTCCTGTTACTCTTAGAGGTGTGCACATGAATAAGCATAGTATTCAATTGATAGATACCGATTATATTTATAGATCAATATACATAGACACATATATAGATCTATATGATATCTATGTATAGTACATATAATAGATAGATAGGTAGGTAGGTAGATATATGTGTGTATCTCAAAAACACAACAGTGTCAAAATCCCCCTTGAGCTAAAATGGTTGCTTGTTAGTAATTTTATGAAAATTATCAAAATGCTCTTTTTAGCTCGTCACATAATAAGCATCCAGTAAATGGTTCATGAATGAGTAAGTAAAGAACCTATTATAGGTGTAGCATAGATGAAGAGAACGTTAAATTCTGATCTGGGTTTTGGAGGATAAGTAGGAGTTTGTTAGAGGAGTTCAGGGCAGGCATTCTGAAGTCTTGTAAGTTCCTGTACTCAGAATTGTTTTATGGGAAGTTTGATAATTTTCTTTTCACTTTGAAGGCAGAAGATTGTTAATGGGCTCTTACTAAAATTGAGGGAGAGCCTTATGCCAACAACAAAAATGCTTGCAGTTGTTTGGATGGTAATTAATATTCAATATATCACAGTACACATTTAAAAAATTAACTATTGAGCTTTTAAAATTGGCACATGGAATTAATTATAATGTAGTAATTTTATTTAAAGTTGTTTCACTTGTTCATTAGTTTTCAATAAAATCATACATTTGATAAATCAAGTTCTCCTAAACAGATACCAATTCCATATTTTATGAATTAAAGTTCTTTAGACATTCGATATTATGAATTTAAAATATGATTCTTTTAAATACTTGAAATACCTAACAAGGCATATTTACAAACGTAACAAAGAAAATTCTCATAAAGGCTTAAAATGGATTTTGAATTAGACCTGAGTTCGCATCTCAGCTCTGATACTTACTCTGTGTTGGATCAGATCCAGCATCCAATGATTTCCCAAAGCTCTGGGAGTCTTCTTTATCCCAGTTACCCTGGAAATGGCAGCAGATCTCTCTGACAAAGATTAGGAAGAAGGTTCACAATAAATACTTGCAAAAATCCTGCAAGGTATCCCTGAAGGGCAAAATGCTTTCTTTTTATTTAAGAGCTTCTAGGTGAGACTCAGGACTGAAAATAGGGTGACGGGCCTGCTCTTCTACCATGATATGGCTCATTACAGCCTCCTGTTCATGTTCATTCATTCACTCAATGAATATTTATTGAGCGCTTCCATGTGACACATGTGACACAATATAAAACCACACAAAGCCCCACTGAATGCACTTGCCCCTGACACGGTCAGTGTCTAGCACCCTCTTTGGGCTCATTTACGTGTATCCTGTGACATTGCAAGAAGGGAGCCTAATGTGGTAAATCAGCCCCAAAGCCTGGACTAACCAAAAAATGATGGACCTACCTTTGAAGTGAACAAGAACTTAACCTTCAAGACTGTTTAAGTTAATAAAAAACGAATCACAGAAGTTAATTTCCATATTAGAATATTCTGGACCTCTTACCAACAAGTCGTTCTCTGTGAGCAACTCACGCAGAGTTCCAAATTTCTAACTTTCAAAAGGTGTTTTAGGCCTTGGTGAATTGGAAACATTCTATGAAATTCTGTCTCCTCATCGTTTATGGTTGTTCTTCATTTCTAGGACTATTTCTCTACAGGTAAAACATTTTCTGCTCTTTTCTTTGAGCTGGGCATGATAGCCCATTAAGTAGTCCTAGACCAGTTTACAGTTGAAAAACACTATCATCTTGAGAAAAATTAAAATGAAACACAAATATGATTTCTTCCCCATATTGTGGCCTACTTGCTTCTATTTTTCCTGGACTGACTAGTCTAGATGAAAGGAGGACTGACCAGGATTAGAAAATTTGGGGTCAGAATTGGTCACAGAAAATCTCAAGTTGTATATCCTGTGATTTAATGAAAATATTAACTGGCTTTGTTTAAATCTTCAGATAAAATTCTTAGATATGTGGGATGCCTTTTTTTAAATAGCTCCTTTCCATATGGATATTGTTTATTTCTTCTTTGATAACATCTATGGGAACGTAAGTCTCATTAAACATATAAGGATACACACAAGAAGTGGTAGGAAGAGTTACACAGAAAATTAGGTCATTGGGAGGAACTCCAAGGGATTAAAATTTTAAGTCCATTAACATGCTCTTTTCATGCGAAAAGGAAGTTTGATTTACTGGCATATTTGAAATGACATGGGCTCTTGAATCAAATAGGCAGGGACAAAATCTCTGCTGCATTTACTATCTTTCAATGGAAAGGAGGCTATAATAATCTCTATTTTGCAGGGCTGTGAATTGAATGAGAACAAAGTATAAACAGCTATTCTAACGTCTTCATTGAAGTCATTCAGCTAATGTTTATTCTGTCCCTTTTCAAAGCCAATGGCAAAATGAAGTAACCCACAGCCAACCGGAGGAAACTATCTGGGAAGGAGGAGAAGGGGTGGAAAACAAAATTTGATTTGGGGTTGAATTTTCCAGCTTATCTGAGAGAAAAGTCAAGTTATTAAATATTCATTGAGTAGCTGTTAACTTTCTAGAAGGCTATTCCATCCAAAAGACAACATTAGAAATATCGTGTCATCGGGAAAGTCATGATGCATTTTTGCATTGAAAAACATAGAAAAATATGTCATGACTTTCCTGATGACCCAATAAATGAACAAATCCCTGCTTTCCCAAAGCATAAAGTCAAGTTAAAGAGACAGAACTTAAACTTGGGATTTATAATTGGACAACAATGATAAAGAACCTGTCAATGCACACAACATAGTATGGACTACAGGCCTGAGCACAGAGGGGTCCGGTATGTTCGACGGGATCCAGGAGATCAGGGAATGGAAAGGCTGACGGAATCTGGAACCTCTTAGAGGAGATGTCACTGCACGTTCACAAGGAGCGGGGTTCTGTTGACTGTGGGGAATTCTACCTCAAATCAGTCACAGTGGCAGAAGAGCATGGCAACATGAGCAATATCGGTGAGTCAGAGAGGGGGCTCGGAGGCTTTGAGCCTCCCAGATAAGACAGACCACTCATCCTCCCAGTCATTAAGGGATCTGAGTCATTTGGGGACACCACATGTGGCTCTTCTGTTACTCAGACCCTTTGTTTTCCTTGTCTCTCCTTGTCCCCACCCCGACCCCCACCTTATGCCGCCATTATCTTTGAGGATAAGATAGGACCCCACTCATAAGACAACTAAGGGCAACTGCGAGGGAGGAAATAAACTGCAGCTCAGGTCATCGTGTGCCATACCTCCTCCAGGGAGAAGGCTAGTATGGGGTTGGGGATTATCCAAGGATTTCTTTTGTTCCCAAGTCGGTATTACAATTGTGTGGAATGAGTATTGAAAGCCTTCTCAGTTTATTGGGAAGTTTGAAGGCAGAACAGACGGGAATGGAAAAACAGGAATGAAGAACTAGCAGGATGAGGAAGGGGAGGAAGCGGAGAGCCTTGTTCCTATAACCCCATTAAGACTGTCTTGTTAATGGCAAGCCCTGTCGTAGTTGAGCCCCTTGTCCTCAGCAGTGTGTATAGCTATGGAACACAGTCAATTGGGAAATTTCTGCCAAATCCTACTTTCCTGTACTCAGATGTCTTAATAATCTTATTAAACCAATCCATGCCAGGCTCAGTGAATGACAAACAAACAAAAGCCCTCAAGATTGAAGGTCTTCTCTTGAAAGAGCAACTCATTCAACGTTTATGGAACTTAGACATTGTGCAAACCCTTTTAGTGACTAGAGGAAGAATGATGAAAAGGCCAAGTTCCTCCTCCACTAGTGTTCATTCTGGTGGGGGAGACAGATACAGCAATGGATGAAAACAATGACTTGTTGATTGTAATCATGGGAGATGTAATCATGGTTGATGTAATCATGATGATGTGGGGGTGGGGGGTAGTGATCAATTTTACCATTGCTGTAGATTCTACCATGGTTGGTTCCCTATGAAGATTTTATGTAAACCAGTTCTTGTTGGATGACTAGTAATTTGTGAAGCAGACTGGGGTTGAGAGGACATTTCAGGCAGTGGAAATGCAAGAACAAAGACGTAGAGGTTGGAAGTGAGAGTACACAGCATGAGTGAGAGAGGGCAGTGTCTTGGCTGGCCAACAGGAGGCAGCACGGTGTGGGGTGCTAGGAGATGAACCTGAGAGGGAACTCAAAAGCCAGATCTGGCCAAGCCTCAGATATTGTACTTTACTTTGATGAACTTTGAGGAGTCTTTGAAGGGTTTTTAACAATCGCATCAAAAGATTATGGTGGCCGAGTGGAGAGTGCTTAGAAAGCAGAAAGACTGGAGCTAGGAAGGCCATTTTTTTTTAAAAGATTTTATTGGGGAATTGGGGGAGGGGAACAGCGCTGGGGAATTGGGGGAAGGGGAACAGACAAGTTGCTGTCCTTTTGTTCTTCAGTCTAGCTGTGGAGGATGTCACTTCACTGACCCATGTTGGTATTATCATTGAGCTCTTCCCGGATGAGGCAGATCGGTCACTTGCCTCTGGATGGCCACTCACAGTGGCTCTTGGCCGCTCACGCTGGCTGCTGGCCACTCACGGTAGCTTATGGCAGCCCACTACAACAGGGGCTGCAGCCTACACCGTTGCCAGTGACTCATGGCAGCCCAGCTCCAGGTCAAGTTGCTATTCACCATCTTAGCTGTAGAGGGCAGTGTCACTGGCCCTCATGTGGGATCCGAACTGGGGCCCTGCTGCTCAGAGTTGGTGTCCCAAGCCAGCTCTTAACCAAAGCGCCACTCGGCTGGACCTAAGGAGGCCATTTTAAGAAACTGATGTAATAGTCAGATGAGAGATGATAGAGGTCTGAGATAAGGGAGTGACTTTATGGATGGGGAGGAGAGGACAGATTCAGGAGGTGTGTAGAAGGAGGAACCAGAGGGCATGGCCCTCCATTGCACTTGGGAGTCCTGGAGAGAGGGAGGACCAGAGAACAAGAGAGGAATTGAAGATGGCTTTCAGGTTTCTGGTTTAGATAATCGGATGCGTTGTGGTCCCATGAGCTGAGACTGGGAATACAGGAAAAGGAGCAGGTTGGAAAGAAAAAAAGATCAGATCAGCTTTGAAAATGCTGAGATGAAAGTGCTGGTGGATATCCCTGTGGAGAATGTCTCATAGCTCCTTGGATATTTAGAACTAGAGCCAAGGAAAGAAGTTGGGACCAAAAACATAGATTTTGGAATCATCTATGTGGCATAACCAGGGAATGCTTATAATGAGAAAAGCAAAGCCTGAGGAGGGAGGCAGAATAAAACACATAGAAAAATTTATAACACTAGACAGCAAAAAAAAAAGTAGATACCTGTGGAACAGAGGGCGAGAACTGACTTCAGCTCTGTTACAATAGTGTTTGGTTGTCTGGGTTTCTATTTCTTTTACACAAGGACAGTAACCACCAAGTGTCATCAGGAAAAGTGATGGAGACTTGTTTAGTTGTCTTATATTGTCATAACGACCCGTGAGGGATTGTGAATGGCACTCAGTATTCACATCAGACGATTGACTAGGCTGACAGATCAGACTAGTGTGTAGTCTTTAGGCTGCTCATTTCACAAGCCTTTCATGATAAACTTGGGGTGTGTTGGGAAAATGCTAGGCCATTGATAAAACAATTAGCTTATTATTCGCTAGTTGAACATTGTGCTCTGAGAGCACAGACAGTGAATTAGAGTTAACTTAGAGGCGTCACCTCGTCCACCTGTGGTGTCCATGCTTGGCTTTGTGACATTCAACATTTATCTCCTCAGATAAACTTGAGCAGCGCAAGGATCAAGCCTGAGGGGAATAAAAAATACTTTGCATGACCAGATCAATATTCAGAAAAGCCATCGTTGGGCTCTAGTGTTGGGCCCAAACCCACAAGTTGAAATCTGGCAGGAATCAATGTAGATTCCTGCCCTTGGTTTCTGAAAAGCGACTGCATAAATCAAGGATGATGGAGTTAATCGTGTAATGAGAGAGTACCCAAAGCTGACCCCATTGCCGGCCACAATGAAATACAGGCAGTGGTTGTTTGTGCTCTTCCCTGGGGAGTGTGCAGACTGTTGAGTTGTGGGCACCGCTCAAGCCAACAAGAAGGAGCCAGACGACAGGGAGGCCATGTGAGGAGCGATTGAAGAATTGCTTAGTGACCAGCCAGAGGGCTTGGAGGTAAACAGAAGGCTGTGATATCTTTATAAATATGGCAGCGTTGTCTCACTTAGGAGGACTTAGGTGAATTCTGTCAAGCTTCTGAGGGCAGAATTTCTATAAATGGAAAGGTGATAATGGACAGCAGTTCATAACAGGGAAAATCTTCCTAAACGTTGCATATCTTCACACATGGGATGGGCAGCCCTGCGAGGCAGTGAGCCCCCCACAGATGGGGCTGTGTAAGCAGAGTGATATTGCAGAAGAGAGTCCTAGAGAGGCAGAGAAATTGAGATAGATGATCCATGCTGAGATTTGGCCATGGGGAATGACCCGTTTAATTGCTTCATTTTCTTATCCTGAGTTCAATCCTGGTTCATGAGCGTTTTGTTTCGTTTTGTTTGTTTTTTCTCCTCATATAGAAATAATCAAATCTACAAATCTCATAATTCTGCTGGAGGATGAAATCTTTGTCGATTTTTTCAACACATTTCTTTCTCTCCCGGTAAGCATGCTCAGACTTAAATGTCCACGCTTCACCAACAGCTGAATAGTGACTCTCACTGAGCTGAGTGCCTTTTTTAAAATAAAATAAAATAAAATAAAATAAATAAAATAAAACAAACCCCTCACCAAATTAAAACTATTTTAATTTGAGCAACTAAACATGAATCAGAACCTCCTGTAAAACCTCCAGGAACTTGCCAATATCCCAAATCCCCAGCCTCCTAAACTACCTCTGCGGGCACATCATACCCTCTGCTGGGACCCAGTGCTCTACCTGGCGAGTACACCTGGTCTTCTCCCCCCCTGCACCTCTCTTTAGCTGTGTTCTGAGTTCCACTTACCAACATTTTAACCATTTTTCAAATCTCTCCTTAAGTCCTGTTCTTAGGAATTCTGAGGTCCTCCCAATCAAACTTATTTCTCCCTCTATTGGTGCCCCTAGCACTTTGCAGCTCCCTTGTGCTTTACGTGTGTGCCTCCCCCACTGGATGATGAGATGGTGAATTCCTGCCAGACAAGGACTGTGGGTTATTCAGTACGCTCTAGCCCCCCTCACCAAGTGTTTAGCACATAACAATTACTAAGTTAGTCCCTGGAATCTAACCGATATATTGTCTCAACATATAAAACAAACCAAAAAACGTCAAAATATTCTTTAAACCCAAATCTAGACTTACTGTGCGTCTTTTTGGGTTACATCTTTGGCAACATCCTACCAAGGCGCGTTATAAATTGTGGCGCATTTCAGGGCACCCCTTCCCATGGAATGCCACCTGTTAAAAGGTGCCATTTCATACAACTGGGGGGGAAAATATCCTATTATCCCACAAACACTTTTTAGGTAGTCACTCTGTGCCAGCCACTGGGCTTAGCACTGGGACACAAATATTAATGATACAATCTTTGTCCTCAAGGAATTGCCAGTCAAATACGAGATACTGATATTCAAGGGGAGTACAAAAACGGGTGTGAGAGACATGACAGAGGTCTCTAGGAGGCTTGAGGGAGAGGCCACTTCTACCTGGAAGAGTCGGGAAACGTGTCAGAGAAGAGGTGACACAAGCCAAGTCTTGAAGGAAGACTAGGTATTTGAGAATAGGGGAGAGAACGGTGGGTAAAGAAGTAGGAGGAAAGACCGAGGGGTCGGGTAGCAAGAGAAGCAAAGGCGTTACAGACAGAACAGAGCAGGTCAAAGCAGCAAGGAGTCCAATCCTATGGCACTTTGGGGGAAACTGTACGTAACTTGGGCTGAAGGAAACACGGTGAGAGGCAGACAACTGTTGTGAGAGCAAGAGATGAGGCCGCACAGCCAGGCTAAGCCAGGCCTCGGAGAGCAGACAGGCTGCTTAGGGGTTTGGACGTCATCCTGAAGGCGATAGAGGCCCATTGAAGGGTTTTAAGTAACCCTTCATGATTAGACTTTCATTTGAGAACATTTATTTCTGCAGGAGCAGAAATAATTTATTTCTGGGTGCAGGGCAGAGAGCAGTCACTGAGCACCAAGTCTCCGTTATAGACTCCATTATCACCTTCCTTTGATACCTACAGCCAAGGACAAAGGGGAGACGAAGACGGGGCCACGGACTGACAAAAGTTGGGGACTGCTAGCCTTGGGGAGATGGTCAGACTGACATGATGTGCTGAGAGCTCAGCCAGGAGTGGGGGCTTCAGCCCCTCTAGTTTATCACAAATACTTTAGGATGCTTTGAGATATTTTGTGCCTACAGTGAGACTGCTAAGCTTAGATACCTATTATCACAGAAGCCCTTTCCCATCAGTCTCAGAGCTGGTTGCCTACGTCACAGACCCTGCTCCATGACAAAAGAGAACAGTAGTCTAGAATTATCTATCAGTGTTGGACACTCTTAATGCCCCCATAAGTAAAATTTGTACCCCTAATCCTCATATCCTCCCTCCTCTCTGCTTTCTCCAGCTCAAGAGCTTAGACAAATCCAAAGCTGTTTCTCTTTATGAAAGGGTTTTAGGCCTTTACTTTGGCTAAGTCCATGGAAAAATGAATAATGCAATACACAAAGTAAACGCCTTATCATATTATGGGCTTTGTTTGGCCTTTGCACACACAGGCGAGGCAACTCCCAGGTCAGGTCAGGGCAGAGCCAAAAGAGAAATGAATCTTGCAATTTAGTCTATTTGGGGTGTTTTTGAGCGAGACTAGTTGATTTAGTGGAATAAATTTAAGAATTGATATCCCTTGAAATAGGAAAGCAGTGGAACCGTCCTTCCCCTGTGGCTGCAAATGGACCGTGATGTATTTGTGATGGGAAGCTCTACCCCTTTGGCTGTTTCCTAGCTTTGTTTTTCAGGTCTTTGGTCAGACACCATTTTACACAGTTGAAAATGCACAGTGGAGCTTGTGGCCAGAAATACCTCATGACATGGTGAGTAAGATTCTTGAATGGCAGAAGGTTTGTGGTGGGGGAAGACGGAGCTGAATTTGAAGCGCAACTGGGTGAGGGAGGAGAAGAGACACAGAGGGTGACTGGAAGGAACTATGAAGCGAGCACATAGAACAAACAGTATCAATCCAGGTAGACATTTCTTTTTTTTGCATTTTTCCCACCTGGGCAAGCGATGCTGGTGAATTCTTCCCTTTATATTCTAATCCATGGTTCGCAAATGGGATTCATCTCTCATGCCCACTGTGACCATTGGGTAGTAGATGCTTGGAGCACTGTGTTTGGAAGAACTCTGAGGCCACACCTAAGCCAGAAAGAGCCTGGGAATTGATTGGTAATGTCTGCCATGGCTGTGGCACGGGAAGTGGCAGCCCATGGGCCACAGAGTGATAATTTTGCATTGTAAGGTGTAGCTCAAGGTAAGATGCCACTCTGCAATTCCTAATGATTACTCAACCATTCTCCAGAGACTGTCTCTCTCTTTATATCTTTTTTCCTTGTCCATGTCCATTGTCTTTCTCTTCTCCTTCTCCCCCTTCCTGTTCTCCTTGTCTGCTGTGTAGACCTTAGACTTAACCAATGGCTTCCCCATGCCCTACCCGTGTCATGTGGGATTAGAAAGGTCACCGTAAGCCCTGCTCACAACTTTTATCTCTGGGATCTGGAAAGCTGAGAAAGACACTCCAGATTCTTATACCTGGTTTCCCTAGGAGAACTCTGAAACTTAACAATTTTATTTTTCCCCCCTCCCGTCTCTGGTGGCTTCCGTCTCTCAGGGATCCATCCCATATTCTAAAGGATGTTATGTGTGAGTTTTTGTACCTGTTGTGCAGTTGATACGGGCTGGCAGCCTGTGAAAAATTAGAAGTCTGCTCACAAACAAGCAAGTTGCATAGAGTGATGATTCGACACCACAGACCCAAATCCCTTCTGCTTCTTTTCTATGAAGCAAAACTTAGATCTTTTTTAAAACAATTTCACCCAGGACTAAGGAACATTTTTTTTTTATGAAAGACCAGTCCTATTTTTTCCTACCAATCCGTTCAGTCCTTTGGGTGCCTCAGCCCAAGTCTCCACTCCCCTTAGATACTATTTTCAATCAACGCGCCTCTCCTCTGGGCTAGATGCTGCGAGTGTGATGTTATTTATTGCCTTGCTCAGTTGCATTTCTTAGCAGTTCAGTTCCGTTTCTCTTTTCCTATTTTGTTTGGACTCTAGATTGCAAAATACAAAGGATTGTTGACCTGGTTGGAAAAATACCGGCTACCTTTCTTCTGTAAAACCAACCTGTGTTTCCATTACATTCTCTGTCAGGAGTTCCTCAGTTTTGTTAATTCCCCAGAAGGAGGTAAGCATAGGGGTACACCTGTGGAGAAATACAGGCACCAGGTTGCATAGCGATCCTGTGCCTGTTGGTCCTACAGTAAGATACGAATAGTTAAATTGATAACTTGGCTCTCAGCTCAACTAACTAAAGGAAACTAAGTGTGTTCCACCTAGGGAAAGTTAAGATTGGGAGATCCCAATGAGTGAAATGTTATAACAAATCACCCGATATACTCGTCTTCCCCCTGCAATACATACATTGGGAAAATTGCATTGGCAGAGTCACTGTCATGTGGGGACTGTAGGAGGCAAGAGGCCTTGGTAGGAGGGTATTTTTGATCTGTGGATTGTATGTGTGCGGGTGCGTCCCTCACATGTCACTTGATGCATGTCATTAGAGGGTCTTGTGCCTAGCTTCAAAAGTACCACACAACTACATCAAACTAAAAAGTTTGTTCACAGCAAAGGAAACCATCAGTAAAACAAAAAGACATCCTACTGAATGGGAGAAGATATTTGCCAATGATATGTCTGATAAGGGGTTAATATCCAAAATTTATTAAAAAAAAAACTTGCACAACTCAACACCAAAAAAAAAGAGAACAATCTAATTAAAAAACAAGCAGAGGACATGAAGAGACATTTCTCTAAAGAAGACATACAGATGGCCAACAGGTATATGAAAAGATGCTCAACATCACAAATCATTAGAGAAATCCAAATAGAAACCATAATGAGATGTCACCTCACTCCGGTCAGAATGGCTATCATCAATAAATCAACAAACAACAAGTGCTGGTGAGGATGTGGAGAAAAGGGAACCCTGGTGCACTGTTGGTGGGACTGCAGATTGGTGCAGCCACTAGGAAACAGTATGGAGGTTCCTCAAAAAATTACAAATAGAACTACCTTATGACCCAGCAATTCCATTCCTGGGTATTTATCCAAAGGAAATCCAAAACACTAATTCGAAAAAATATATGCATCTCTATGTTTATTGCAGCACTATTCACAATAGCCAGATATGGAAACAACTGAAATGCCCATCAGTAGATGATTAGATAAAGAAACTGTGGTACATTTGTACATTGGAGTATTGGCGATAAAAAAGAATAAAATCTTACCATTTGCAACAACATGGATGGACCTAGAGGACATTATGCTAACTGAAATACATCAGATTGAGAAAGACAAATACCATATGATCTCACTTATATGTGGAATCTAAAGAACAGAATAAATGAATAAATAAAACAGAAATAGGCTCATAGATACAGAGAAAAAAACTGTTGCTAGATGGGAGGGGAGTGGGAATGGGGGAGAAGGTAAAGGGCTTAGAAAGTACAAATTGGTAGTCACAATGTAGTCATGGGGATGTGAAATACAGTATGGGGAATATAATTAATAATGTTGTAAAGATTTTGTAGGGTGCCAGATGGGTGCTGGACTTATCAGGGAGATCACTTCATGGACTGTGTAGATGCCTGACCGCTGCGGTGTACACCTGAAGCTGAAATAGAATAATATTGAATGTCAATTATATATATATATATATATACATATATATATATATATGGTTATGGGATGTAAAGCACAGCATAGGAGATAGAGTCAATGGTACTGTGACAGTTATATATGATGTTAGAGGGGTAGTAGATTGGGGGCAGTTATCACTTTGTAAGGGGTGTAAATGTCTAACTTACCTAGCTTTGTATACCTGAAACTAATAATAATAATAATAATAAATAATTAATAATAATAATAAAGTGCCACACAGTCAGGACCCAACTCATCTAACTGGGCACCAGTTTTCCTCACTCACACCGAGTGAATGGGGG